CTGTCTTCAAGATGGATGATGGACCAAGGGGGTCTCAGTGCCCTGAACTGGAGTCCCATGACCACGAGAATGATCAAGTTGTCCCTGAACTTGCATGGGATCTGCTGTTCCAGCTGGAGGCCTACAAATCTATGCGGCCTGATGGGATTCATCCCAGAATCCTCAAAGTGCTGGCTGATGTCATCACAAAACCTCTTGGTGATTTTGAGCAGTCTTGGAAATCTGGAGAAGTCCCAGCTGATTGGAAGTTTGAAAACATTGTCCCGATTTTCAAGAAGGATCCCAGAAACTACAGGGCTGTCAGTCTCACTTCAGTGCCTGGTAAAGTTATGGAGATTATCCTGGGAAGTATTGAAAAACACCTGAAAAAACAATGCAGTAACTGGTCACAGCCAGCATGGCTTCATGAGAGGAAAGTCCTGCTTGTCAAATCTGATTCCCTTCTATGACAAGGGAACCCAGCTAGTTGATCAAGGAAAGCCATTTGATGTAGTTTTTTTGGATTTTAGCAAAGCTTTTGATATTGTCTCCCATAGTATTTTGGATTAAGTGTCCAAATATATATACAGCTGGATAACCATGTTAAATGATGGGGGAACATCTGGCTCACAGGTTGGACTCAGAGGGCAACAGTAAATGGCATAACATCCATTCACTAGTGGGGTTCTAGAGGGTTCCATCCTCAGTCCATTTCTCTTCAACATCTCATAACTACTTGGACACAGAACATAAGGAATACTAAGTAAGTTTGCCAGGGACACTAAATTGGGAGTAGCTGTTGACTCCCTTGAAGGCAGGCATACCCTGTAGAGAGATCTCAAAAAATTAGAGAGATGGGCAATCACTAACTGTATGAAGATGAACAAGGGCAAGTGCCGGATTCTGCACCTAGGACGGGCAACTCCAGATGTACACACATACTGGGGAACTAGATGTTGGAAAGCAGTGCCACAGAAATGAACCTGGGGGTCCTGGCTGATGGCAAGTTGAGTATGAGTCAGCACTGTCCTGGCAGGAGGGTCAACCGTGTCTGGGGTGGGGGCATCAAGCAAAGGATCACCAGCTGGTCAAGGAAGAGGATTGCCCTGTTCTGCTCTGCACTGGTGTGTCCTCATGCTGAATATTGTGGCAGTTTTGGGTGCCACAATATAAGAAAGATACTAAGCTGTTAGAGAGCATCAAAAGGAGGGCAATGAATATGGCGAAGGGCCTTGAGGGGAAGCCGTGTGAGGAGCAGCTGAGGTCACTTGGTCTGTTCAGCCTGGAGAAGAGGAGACTGAGGCAAAGTCTCACTGGGGTCTTCAACGTCCTCATGAGGGGCAGTGGAGGGGCAAGTACTGATCTCTTCACTCTCTTGACCAGTGACAAAACCAAAGAAACAGCATGAAATGGAGTCATGGGAGGTTTAGATTATATATCAGGAAAAAGTTTTTTCATCCAGAGGGTAGTTGGGCACTGGAACAGGCTCTTCAGGGAAGTGGTCACAGCACCAATCCTGACAGAATACAAGAAGCATTTGGACAATGCTCTCAGGCACATGATGTGACTCCTGGGGATGGTCCTCTCCAGAGCCAGAAGCCGGACTGGATGATCCTTGTAGGTCCCTTCCAACTCAGCATATTATATGATTCTGTAAGTTCTAAGGAACTTAAACATAAGTATCATTATGGACTGAAGGAAATTAGGCACAGCATGAGGAAAGATTTAAAATAAAATTAAAAGAAGCCACTACTGAGTTCTAGTAAAGTCTGTAGTTTGGAAATGTGTATGTTGCTTGGTGTTTGGGCTTTTTTTGGAATATATCAAACAAATAACCAGAAATTCAAGTTACAGATCATACAGCCTTTCAAAAACATAGCAAAGCTAGTCTCTCTTCTAGGGTGGAGTGGGCATTACAGACACGTGAACTAGATAATTTAAACCAAATACTCTAGAAACAAAAATGCATATTATCCCACTGCCCATTAAAGCGGTTTTTTTAAAAAAAAGTCGTTGGGCAGGTCAAGAGGAACCAGAAACCAGACACTTGGTGACACACTGAGAGCACACTCTGACACTCACCTTCTTAATAGCCACGATTCGGTTATCGGTCTTGTCCCTGGACTTATAGACAGTGGCGAACTAGCGAAAGGGAAAGACAGGGAGAGAGATGCTGCCGTGAGCAGGGCTGTCGGGCCGTGTGAGGGGAGGCCCCCCCGCACTCCGCAGGCCCGGGGCGGGCAGGACCCGGCTCCCCCCGGGCCCCACTCCCCCCGCTCCCGCTCCCGCTCCCGCCGCGGCCCGGCGGCCACACGGGCTGCTCACCTGCCCCTCCCCCAGGAAGTCGAGTTTCTCGTAGCGCTTGGCGCGCGCCCGCGCATCCATAACCGACGGAACCCGGAGCTCGAGCACTGCGGTACTCAGGGAACAGCACAATCCCCGGGACCGGGGGATCCGGGGCGGCGCTTTGACCCCGCTGCCGCGCCTCTTCCGGCCCCCGCACCGCCCCCGGCCCGCCCCTGCGCCAGTGGCGGCCGCGGGTGTGGTACACTGCCGCCATTCCCGTAGGGATCTTGTCCCTTCGGGAATACCGTGGCCTTGTGAGTGTGCGTGCCTCCTGAAACAGTCAACAGGCTGTCCCAGATGCTGCTTCTGTTTTGACCCCAGTCTCAGGTCTGGTATTCGGCGAAAACTCGGCATACTCTGTGCACAGATAACTTTCGTTACGCAATAAACCCATTGTTAGTGTCTAGAAGGAGAGCTCTCAGCCATTAATTAGATTTTACTGGAAATTCTTAATTATACTCTTAAAACATCTTCATTATGAGCAATTATTTACAATATAGTTCTTAAAACTACCATTCAGTAGCTATCAGAGGTAAATACTGAGAAATTTCTCATTTGAAAATTAATTTCCCTACTGCCTAACCTTTGCTGTTCTGTAGTAAGTTACTCTGAAGAACAGCCATCATCTCTGAGAGTACATCAGTGTCTCTTTCCTGTCTGTAAAATCATTCCCAGTGAAATATCCTGGTGAGTCAGCCTCACCTCAATCCCTGGAAAAGTGATTTGAGAACCTGTCTGGAGGCCATCTGTATCCACATGGAGGACAAGAAGGTGATCAGGAGTAGTCAGCATTGGCCCACTAAAGTCACATTTAATCAACCTGATTACTTTCTGCGATGAAGCATTCTCTACCTAGATGGATGAGGGGAGAGCAGTGGGTATTGCCTACCTCAACTTCAGCACTTGGACACTGTCTCTCACAACATCCTCATAGGCAAACTCAGAAAACATGGACCGGATGAGTGGACAGTGAGGTGGACAGCAGATCCCTGGCGATCATAATGAGTGGCAGAGGGTCTAGCTGGAGGCTTGTCACTAGTGGTGTCCCCCAAGGTTCAGTACTAGGCCAGTACTGTTTAACTTGTTCACTCATGATTTCGATGAAGGGGCAGATGCCTCCTCAGCAAGTTCACTGATGACACAAAGCTGGGAGTGGCCGATACCCCTATACCTTCAGAAGGACCTCGACAGGTTGGAGAGATGGGCAGAGAAGAACTGTCTGAAATTCAACAAGGACAAGGGCAGGTCTTGCACCTGGGAAGGAAAAATCCCCTGCACCAGCACAGAATGGGGCTAACCTGCCAGGAAGCAGCTCTGTGGAAAAGGACCTTGGCTTCCTGGTGGACAGCAAGCTTGCCCATGAGCCAGCAGTGAGGCCTTATGGCCTGGAAGGCAAATGGTGCCCTGGGGTGTATTAGGGAGCATTTACAGCAGGTTGAGGGAGCTCATCCTGCCCCTCTACTCAGCCCTGGTGAGGCTTCAGGTGGAGTGCTACAAAGATGATGAGGGAAACTGGAGCATTTTCCTTGTGAAGAAAGGCTGAGGGAACTGGGCTTGTTCAGCTTTGAGAAGAGAGGACTGAGAGGGAACCTCATCAATGTATGCAAGTATTTAAAGTGAGGGTCTTAAGAGAATGGATCCAGGCTCTTCTTGGTGGTGCTGAGCAATACCACCAAGGCAAGAAACTGATGTGCAGAAATTCCACCTGAATGACCGCACACGGATCAGACTGCCCCGACAGCTTTTTGAGTTTCCCTCACTGGAGATGTTTAAAAACTGTCTGTACACAATCCTGTGCCATGTGCTCTGGGACAACCCTGCTTGAGCAGGGAGGCTGGACCAGATGACCCACTGTGGTCCCTTCCAACCTTATCCATTCTGTCATTTTGTGATCTCAATCAGTAGAAAAATAAAATGACTCTGCTAAATTGTTGACTTTGCAAATGGCTAATTAGAAAAAATATTTTAATAGTGCAGACATCATATATATTCAATTGCTAGTTACCCACCAACAGAAAATCCTTCTCAGTCACAAATTGGTATCTCATGTGTTGTGTCAACCTTCTCACCCATCATATGGGTTTTTATTAAAGCTATTAGTATACAATAATTTTTAATATTAAGGAAATGCCTTTGTTGTGAATATAACACTTAGTTCTTCAGCAGTGGCCAGCAAACTATCTTCTACGCTTATTCTGGACCTCCACGCTGTAGAAGAAAAGCATACAGTTAAATTTCAATTCCATTGAACGTAAAACTGTAATCCTCTTTTGCACAACTACAGACTAACAGAATTCTAGTTTTAATTTCTAATTAAAACATTGATTTTTTTACCTGTATAAGAACACACACAGAGTGCCCAATATCAGCATCTGCCAATAACAGTTCAATTTTTTTCAAAGGAGAATAACAAAAAAAATTAACACATGCAACCCACAGTTACAGCTGCTTTCACTTCTCCCTCTCTGAAGAGACCTGAGTCTTACCCTAGAAAGGTTCAACAAACACAATGGTTGTGAACACAAGTTTTAAAATTACTCTCATTGCCCACATTCCAAAGGGCAAAGTAAAAAAAAAAAAGCTGATGTGAGCCATTACAATCTTTATGAGAACTAGAAAGTTACTCAGTTCATTATCTTCCCAACCAAATTCTTTTACAACTTAACTCACTGTTAAAAAACTTTATGCTAGAGGTCAAGAAGTATATCAGAATACCAGTGTATCAGAAATAATTGATTTTATTTCTACTACCTTAATGCAGCCTACCCCCATACTTTCAGGAATACTGATTTTTTTCTACTAACATTATTATGCTGTATGTGTTCTTATCATTTAACAAAGCTTTGCAAGCATCTTTTCAAATTCACGATCACTTTACAAATTCTATATATTTTGTGCATTCTCCAGTTTTAAGCATCAGTCTTTACAACTAAGAATTCTTACAGAAGCAGGCTTTTCTTGCCTTTCATGTACAATGCCATATTTGAAAATATTGCAGAAAATACTTATAGCAAATTTAATAAATTTTTTGCTACCAGAAATACTAGTTCATTTATTAATACAGAACTTAAGAAACTAGTTTGAGAAATATTGTGGACTTTGATTATCTGATAATAGCCTTTGCTGGTCTAAGAACATACTCCTGTGCTCATGTCCAGCACAGTCAAATTACACATTAAACAGCTGTTACAAAGCAGGTAAGGGTGGTGATTAACATAAGCTAGGACTGTTGCCAGCTTACCTGCATGTCTGTTTTAAGTCCACATCTCTCTGCTCAGCAAGCTACTAATCAGTGATAGGTGGGTACCTTCTGTTTTAAGAATTTGTAGCTTGGTTATTGTACACCAAAGCCATGAAAGATCAGAGCAATACACTTCCCAATAATTAGAATGTAGTATCATACATAGAAGGTGTAAAAATAAGCTAAAGAAGAAAACTTACTTGAATATATTCAATCTCTTCATCTGACATTTGTTTCCTTCTATATTTCTGAGGTAAGGTTCTCGCTAATTCAGAAGTGTCTGGTGTACCTTGTACTCTACTAACAGGTGAAATATTTTGAAATGCTGGTGATCTGCCTCCTACAGACTCCTGTGCTTTTGAAGCATGGAGAGATGGCACACTTGGCTGTAGAGATTCCTGTACTGAAACCCAAATTGCAAAATCATTTACAGAAATACTACCAGTCTGTAAAATTAGTAAGCAACCAATTAAAAAGAAGCCAGTGCTTGAAAATCTTAGAAGAATTAAGTCACTCTTCTTCTCAAAACCTGGTTTTATTGTTGTTAAATGTATCAAGCGCAGTATCTAAAAATCCTGACAGTAATAAAGCATGTTTGAGTGGCAGAAAGACTGATGTAGAAACAGAAGATAACATTAGCATATACCCTAACAATGGCTTTTTCACTGGGAAGCTGTACTTGGAGTAAAAGCATAAAGTACTATAATGTATGTTTGTGGGCAATTATGTAGAGATAACTAAGACAACTAAGATCACTTTTCGTTTATGACAACTGTAAAGACAGACAAGTTAAAAAGAGGTAGAAGCTTACAAAAAGATAAGCTTACAACCAAAACAGCAGACCATAACATGCAATGCGGAGCTGTACCCATCTTTAATATTAAAAAATGCCACCATATCAAATTTTGTTAGTGACGTGCAGAATGACCACCAAGTATCAGGCATCAGCAATCAGTGTTAAGACATCTCCTACTTTCATTTCAGATGCTTTGTTGACCCCAAAGGACTACTAAAGCAACATATTGCTAATATAAATCTGAGGTTTAAACGTAACAGTATTGGAAATACCATAAATATAGATACAGGTATAAAAGTTAACGGGAAGATGAAATTATTTTTTTCTTCAGCATTAATTAGTAACACAAGGAAATACTTCTAAAATGTAGAGTGGGATGGCTCTCCCAGCTATAATCACATTTTGAAAATACTGCAGACATCACACACTTCAACTAAGAAAAAATGACGAAAATGCAACATCATTTCTGCAAATATCACTGAATATCTAAAGCTGCTTCAAACTGACTTGGGCCCAGTTATTTCAGGTAAATATTAGTATTTGGAGAAATGTGACTTTTATATATATAAAAGTAGAAAAGCAGCACTGGAAACCTTTGTGAATCTGTCTTGAGCAAGAAATAAAGACATGCATGCATTATGTGTGTACACAGAGTTGTACAGAGTCTGCAAAAAGACAAAGAGTTGCCTTCAAATTAAACCAAGCATGTTTCAAAAATCCTGCTTCAAAACAGTGGAGTTAGATAGTTGAAAGAGAAAAATTGTGTGCTGGTTCCTATATAAAATAGTCCACATAAAGAAATGTGGCACAAGTTGTATCCATGCATGAAATACTTACTTTTAGGTCTGGGACCACTTTTTCTATCAGGGAACTTAATTAACGGAGTATGGGGCTTGACTACCTAGAAGGAAGCAAGGTAGTGGGAGAAACAAGAAGAAAAATACATTTCTAGAAGCCAGTTACCTTCAAAATAATAAAATGGAAAGGACAATGTATCAAACAACCACACTGTACTGCTGCTCTCTGTACTTCTACTGTGATACATTTACTACTTCTTAAAGGTCTAAGTTTACCCCAGCAAATTTCACTTTTAAAGGTACTCCTTCACCCTGATGTCCAGACCAAGTACAGGTGTTATCTTCCTTTTCTCACAGCAACATCAGTGTGTGCAGAAACAGCCACTGCTGTTGCATAAATGCAATCACAATGCAATCTGCTCTGCTGAGATCCCACCTGGAGTGCTGCGCCCAACTCCGGGGTTCCCAAAACAAGACCTGCTGGAGTGAGTCCAGAGTAGGGCCATAAAGAATAGAGGGCTGGAGCACCTCTTGTATGCGAAAAGGTCTCTGTGAGAGACCTGGGCTTGTTCAGCCAGGAAAAAAGAAGGCTCCAGGGAAACCTTGCAACCCAAAGAAAGCAGATTTATACTAGATATAAGGAAGAAATTCTTTGCTGTAGGGGGGGTGAGGCGCGGGCACAGGTTGCCCAAAGAAGTTGTGGCTGCCCCATTCCTGGAAGTGTCCAAGGCCAGATTGCACAGACCTTTGAACAACCTGGGATAGTGGAAGGTGTCCCTGCCTACAGCAAGGGGGCTGGAACAAGCTGACCTTCAAGGCCCCTTCCAATCTACATCCTCCTCTGGTTCCATACAGCTCTGGCAGACGGAACCGCGACCTGTACGTTCGGCCTGTATAATGTGCTTTCACCTCGGAGAGGGACAGCCTAGAAAGGAGCTGCCGGCCAGCGCCGCACCCTCTGCTATCACAGCACCTGCGACACCCGTGGGCGCCACCGCACGCCTCTCCCCAAGGACACCCGCCGCCCCGGCGGCGTGTCCTCAAGCCACGACCGCCTCAGGCCTCCTCCTCGGCGGCGGCAGCAAGCGAAACGAGCCTCGCCACTCGAGCCAAAGCTCCGGCTGCCTCAGCCCCGCGCTGTCCGGGGCCGTCCTTACCTGCACTGCCCTGGTGGCAGCCGCCATCTTGCTGCCCATGGTGACGAGCCCGAGGGGCACGGCGGGCCCCGCCCACAGCGCGGGAACGCCCACGGTGGGCGGGGCTGGGCAAGCAAGCACCGCCCCACCCCGATCAGAGCTTTATTCTTATCACTCTATCAAAGGACGCCTAAAAAAATTGCTGGGTAATCGCCAGCTTAAGTGACAATATACCATAAAATAGAAACACATAGCACATGCCCCGAAACATGCTATACACCCTAAACTTTAATTTCCTTTGGACATCAAGTGAGAAAAAAAAACGAAAAAAAAAAAAGGAAATGCTTGTGAAACTATGTAGATAGAACATGGCTTAGCTACACAATCGATAGCATTAAGTCACCACTTCAGACACAAGTGGCTGTTAAGAACTAAAAGTATAAAAATTCTGTTGTTTCAAATTATACAAAGTGCTTTAATGGTAAAAAAAATCCCAATTCTATAAACTTGCTGAAACATTTTTCCACCTTGGGTTTTTCACTGGGACAAAGAGTTATGCACCCTGCCTGAGCTCTGCAGCCTACTTAGCCCCGGGAAAAGACGACAGTAGAATCTTGGTTTAAGTCCACTTTTACATAAAAGCTTGAAATATACAGAATATTCAGGTTTTTGCATTACTGCTGTGTTTCAGGCAGAGATGAGGTCTTGGGACAGGACAGCTATGAAGTGGCTCTTGGGGTAGTTTCACTTCATCAGTTGCACTATCCATTTAAACATTTACTGTGTCCCAGAAATTTACTTTCACTTGACAGAGTTCACATTTTGAGCCTCCAGAGAGAAAAACAATTTTCTGAAAGGTTAAATTTTAAAATTATTGATTTGTGTTAAAAATTAAAATAAAATTAAAAAATAATTCCTCCTGATTCACGGAAGACAGACATTTTTTTCAAGCTGTAGAATGACTGCCTTTAAAGATGGATCTTCTGCCCAGTTAACTCCGCTTCCAATAATGATATTCTGTAAAAAAGGAAGATTTATTGATTAAAACAAGCCCAGTAAAATATGTCAAAGAAAGTCTGTTTTTTTAATTTTTAATTTGAAAGCCCTTGAAATCCTCAACAGTGTTTGAAGAGGGCAGAATGGTGGGAAAGAGGAAAAAGGGAAGTATTGGTTTAGATCCTATTGTCAATAGGATTGACAAAAAAAAGCAAAGCTTTTAATTTCCTAGAGATGCTTGCACACTATCCCTATTTTAAACACAGAAAATTAGAGGATTTTTTTTAACAACATGAAATAAAGTTTGCCTCAAATACAAAATAATATAACCAGTATTCTCATCCTGCCATTTTGGATTAAAAATGGGAATTTAAATTTAACCAAAGATTTGTTCTACTTAGGGCTCAGAAAACTTCAAAAATACAAAACCAGGAGGTAATTCTAGGACTCTACTCTTAAGCCACCAAATTGTATAATTTCTCATTCTCAATTTGAGATGTAATGATGTTATCAATTCACAATAGCAGCAGTCATAGCATGCAGTCCAAAAAGATGTGACACTCTGTTCTTGAGCTTCTTACACTGCCCAAGGCCCTTCCACCCTACCCCAAATCATGAGGTTTTCTTCCCCACTTTGCATGACTCCACACTTCAAGTGACCTGCCAGTCAGTTGCATGGATAGACTAGTCAGCAAAACCTGACACATGTGGAACTTAAAGGGCAAAGGCTATGCTGCTGAAAGAATCTGGAGACTGGCTGTGGCTGCAGGCCAAGGCTTTCAGAGAGTTTCAGTGGGTGACACAAACATGGAGGGCATGTGGTCAGAATGAGCAGATGGAGGTTCACTGGTAACATGGGATCAACACCCATTTATTTTTCCTAACTGTGAGATGGGGGAAAGCTGATTTAATGGGATGCAGAGATGATCCACAGTATAAGGAAATACAGCAATTGCTCTGACAGATGTTCTAAAAGAAAATGCATTATTTTTGTAGCTTTTGTACTTTTGAACAACTATAGATTAATAGACTGTCTCTAAACTCCATAGATAATTACTCCAAAGAAGTTTGTGACAATTTCATGCCTTTAGCCTCTAAAGCAAAAGTCTTTCTTTCATACAGCAGTTTTTAAATTACTGCTGTTACATAAAGTTTTTAGAAAACCCAATTTTGTGTTGTTGAAGTTACATTTGCCATACAGTATATTATCTTGACCATAATGAAAAATTGCAAACTTGGTTCTAAAAGACATAACATGTTACCTGAAACACATTTTGAATGACTGTAGTCATGTCTCTTTCTTTTTCTATGTTCTGAAGCAACTTCTTTTCAACCAGGTTCATATTTCCTTTTTCTTTCTTTTGTTTTTTCTTCATAGCCTGAATTTGCTGTAGTTTTCTTCTTTCGTCTTTTTTTAGTGCTGTTCCATCATTAGGAAGATGAAGTGTTAGGAAGTAGTTAGGTGAGCAGTAGAACTAAAGATATGCTTTTTAACTCTCAGCCACCTAAAGAATTTCCACTGCAATAACCCTAACTTTCCACTCCACCCTTTCCTTCCAATATACCTCAAGACATTTCTTTTACATAAGAGGCAACACATTCTGTGACTATCTGGTATTAAACTACATCAACTCATTCCCTGGTTGTCAGCAGAACAGAAAGTACCTTGTATGCTGTCTGCATTTCTCTCAGATAGGGGCTGTAATTGCAACACATCTTATACCCTGTTTTCAATTGCCAAGACTTTTTAGGTCTTTTTATAAATTTTAAAGATAATTTCTACTTTTCTAGATTTGGTTGAAATCAAATTCCAAAGTTGTACAAGGAACATTTGGACAGGACCAGTAAATATTACTATAATAGGAAACCTGGTTAAAAACTAGACTGATTAAAACTGTTAAGGGACAGTTCATACACTGAAAGAATGCTGGCAAAGCATTCCATCTCTTATTTGCAAGGATATCAAGGATGTTCATTTTTCATTAGAAAACAGTTATTTCATTGTGTTTGTTCCTTACTGTCAAGATATGCACAACTCTTTATGTGTGAACCAAACAATAGCTGTTACAAATGGGTGGCAAATCTGGTCATGACAATAGCATTCAAAGACCACAAAGTTCTGAATACTGATTTTACATCTAAATTTGACCCATTTTTACAAGACTATATATATGTACTACGATGAGAGTTTTTATAAGTAAATCCCGTCCCTATTCTGCAAACACCTCAGAAATGTGCGGTCTGACGAAAAAAGAAGCTTAAACTAAATAATAAAATGCCTCCACATTGGTTTTGATTATTTTCTTGCCTCTCTCATTACAACACATCAGTCTCATGCTCAAGCAGGCAACATATCAGTTCATTTGTATAGTACTTCCTACTCTTTTAAGAAATTTTATAATCGCGTTGAGAGTTTTGTTACTTCACATGTAAATTAATGTTGCTATAAGAACAACTTCAAAATATGAATCGTATGTTCAAATACAAAACAAAGTCAATACAACTAACAAACTTACAGAGTCTCTTCCTTTTAATGTCAAACAACTTCTCTTTCTTCTCATGTGCTTGCTGAAAGGAGAGAAAAAAGTATTTCCTAGACTTTGTCTCCAAAAAATATTGAAAGACACTAATTCAGTTCACAAAAGCATTTAGGGGCAGCTCTAGGAGCAGATTTTCTTACATACTCTCTTCAAGTAACCATTTCAGTAATTTTGACAGTGGTAAGAACCTTTTCAACTTAGCTTTACATGATTTGTGCAGTTCTGTTGTTTTCAAAGTGCACTCCTGCCCACGCTGAGGTTGGTTCACCTGCACAACTGCAACAGAAGTTACAGTTGCCACTTACCTGCTGATAGTGAATTATTGATTGGCTGAGAAACACTATGTGATTCACTGTTTCCAGGATCCCACTAAGAAAGGAAACACAGTTGCATACTTTAAGACCACAAATATAAGTCAACATCATAAATGTTTAATTGAGATTATTTGGTTTAAATAAACAATTCCCCATTTGTCCTAACACCAAAATAATGTTAGGTGTCTGCACCCTTTCTTTTTTACAGTTAGTATACTAAGTATCATTGTAGGGGCCAAATAGTCCCCTTATTTCTCCTCTCAGGTTCCCTAAGGTTTTGGTTAAATCTTTTTTAAATTTTGAAATCACAGAGCATGGAAGGCATCAAAGAACCCTAGCCACCTGGGAATTGCTATGAATTAAAAAGTCCCGAATTCTGGCATGTGGCAGAGACATCATGGAGATGCAATCTCTTCAGCTACATTTCTGACAGGAATTAAATTTCTCACATTACACTTCATATGTTTGTGCCCATTAATATTGGGTAGGAAATTAAAAGCTAATTTTAAATATGTTTATTTTTTCAGTTCTTTTTCAAAGACTCTTTGTTCCTACATGAATAATTAGTAAAGAGAGCAAAGTAGAGGCAAGGCCCAGTTACAAGCCCACAATATGTTCTCAACTATTATAAATGCAGGTAACTCAGGCTCTAAAGGCAAAAAACCCTCTCTTAGCTACAAGTAGTTATCATTAGTTAATCTATAATCAAAGGTAGGTTAATTCAGAGCCCAAATGTAAATCCACTGTGGGTATATGCTGATTCTAGCCAGAAGGTAGAAAATATATCAGTATATATTCAGTCAAGCTCGGAAGAAGGAAGCTTGCTTTCAAAAGAGGTACAATGAAGTTATCTAGAAACGTGTCACAATATGTCCATTCCTTTCTAGCCATCTGACTCCCAAGAACACCTTACCCTGAGTCTTCATCATCTTGATTCACCGTGTTTCTCAGGGAAGACATAAGTTGGATCCTGCATAGTGTAAGGAATAACATATGACTTATGAGAACTGATAAGAAATTGAGAGAAGCAGGAAACTGAGGGAAGCAGATTTAAATAAGTAACAGAAAAAGGTAATTTCCAAGGTTCCACTTATGTCCACTTTCATATTGGAATTATATACACAAAATACTGAGTACATTTTAAATATCACACTTAAATAACAGAACTTAACTCTCAGGACATGGAAGGAGTATTGATGATTATTTGTGAGAGTGATAACTCCTTTCTCTCTTGCCAAACATACCCAGACATGATTAATCCCACAGTGCGCAGAAAAGAGGCTGTGCAAAGGTAGGAATTCAAATGAACAGCCATGTAATACAGGAGATGTCTAACACTATCAACTTCCACCTTTTCATAAGCATTTATAAAATACTGCCAAGAAATATGCTTATGGATTTATACAGTCACATATTCGCAATTGTGAGGGAACTTTTATGTTTACACATTTCATCTGGCAGGGTTTTTTTTTGGTTCTCTACAGCATTTCCATGTGCATTCCTACGGTTTGATAGTACTAAAATCTTCCCACCTCCATTTTAACAAGACTTATGTATATATGCATTTATGTATGCACACACAGGGAGGAAAACCCCAAATAAAGGGGGAAGAAAATTCTACCTTTGCAAGGCCAATGTCTTGTTCCCCACAGAGACTTCTGATTCCTCTTTACTTATTTGCAAATCTTCTGTTGCGCTGAAGGGAAAAAAACCCGACAAACCCAGTGTGAAGATAACAAGAAGTTTAAAAGCAATGCCACATTTTAACTTTCTTCTACATTTATAATGTAAGAATTTTTCATGTGAACCACAAATTATTAAGACCAGGAGTAATTTAGCATGTAGGACTATATTATGAATTCTAGCAATCACATCAAGGACTGCAAATTTAGAAGCCACATCACGCAGAGAACTACATTAGGAGACTGAGTAAAGCATTTCTTCCCCACATTTTCTCTTAAATTTCATTATTTTTACCAAACTAATGCAAAGTACTGATTGTTAATCCAAAGATTCACCAAGGAAGCATAACTAGAAGAGAACCTCCAAGCTTAGGTTCTTCTTTTTATTTTAAAATACATTAAAAAATCAAAGTTATCTAGTGACATACCTTTGAACACTCTTTTCTTCAACACAGTCATCAAGGAAAGTTGTTTGACCTGCAAAAGAGAACATCACTAAAGAAAGCCCAGTGTAGACTTTCACATACAATCTATAAAGGATCAGCATTTTTTTGTCTAGCATTTCTATCTCCAAGCCTTTTAATCTCTTTTACTGTTACTGAGACTATATTATCAATCAGCTGTATCAGAGAAATAACTAGATTTTAAAATATTTTCATTTAGTACTTTTTAGATGTGCTAGAGCTGACTCGTGGCACATGCAGCTGGATGGTTCAGAGGAAGTGATGTACCCTGCCACATCCTCGGCTGCATCAGAAGCATGGCCAGGAGAGCAAGGAAAGTGATTCTGCCCTTTGACTCTGCCCTTGTGAGACTCCACACGGAATACTGTATCCAGTGCTGGTGTTCTCAACGTAAGAAGGTCATGGATCTATTGGAGCAAGACCAGAGAAGGGAAATGAAATTGATTAGAGGGGTAAGGAGTTGTTCAGCCTGGAGAAGAGAGACTCTGAGATGACCTTACCAAGTCCTTCCAGTATCTAAAGGGAGCCTACAAGAGAGCTGGAGATGAACTTTTTACCATGTAGTGACAGGACAAGGTGGAATGGCTTTAAACTGAAAGAGGGCAAGTTTATATTAAATACAGGGAAGAATTTCCTTACTTTGAATGTGGTGAAGTATTGGCACAGCTTGCCCGGAGAAGCTGTAGCTACCCCATCCCTGGAACTGTTCAAGGCCAGGCTGGATGGGGCTCTGAGCAATATGGTCTGCTGGAATGTGTCCCTGTCCGTGGCAGGGGCTGTGGAACCAGATGGTCCTTAAGGCCCCTTTCAACCCAAGTAATTCTATGATACCCCATCTCAGTCCCTCCTTGCCCAGGCAGACAATCGACAGGCTATCCCGGAAGTCCTCAGACGGTTGAAACACCTTAAATCAGTATTGCTGCTACACACTTTGGCAGACTTTTGGCAAGACTTCACTCCCGGTGTCCAGATTCCTGAAAATCCTCACGACATGCCAGAGGAGTCTAAAGTAAACACTCAGAAAAGGAGGCGACAACCACACGGCATCTTTGCAAGCATTCCAACACGTCTCAAGAGCCGCCTAGAAAACGCGGTAAAACGCGTAGCCAAGAAAAACATTTCATAATTGTAACGAGCACTTCTGACGGATAATTAAAAAATTATATATATTAGCCACATGGCATTATTTGATAGTATAAGATCCCGCTTACCTCCACGAACGGCCACGCTGTACTCCGTGAGGCGCTGCTTCATCTCGTCCCGCAGACTGCAGAGGAGGAAAAGCGACAACGGTCAGAGGCTACGCATCCCGCCAGCCCACCCGCCAGGTTGCACCCTGTCCCGTCCCGCCGGCACTGACCAGAGCAACCCGAGGACACCCAAGTCGTGGCCGCCCTGGGGCCGCGTCGGAGCCCTGCCCTGCTCCTGCTCCTGCTCCTGCTCCTGCTCCTGCTCCTGCTCCTGCCCCAACTCCTGCTCCTGCCCCAACTCCTGCTCCTGCCCCAGCTCCTGCTCCTGCCCCAGCTCCTGCTCCTGCCCCAGCTCCTGCTCCTGCTCCAATTTCCTGAGCAGCGCCGCCATCGCCCTCATCCAAACCGCGCGTCTCCCGGCGACCCGCGCGCCCCGCGCCTGCGCCGAGCAGCGGGGCGGGGCTCGGCCTGAGGGCAGCGCGGGAACGTGTGGGTGGTGTGCGCCGTGAAGGCAAAAGAAAATAAAAAATATCGCTGAGAGCAGCAGGCAAAGCGCCGTAATCCTTCTGCCTGACCTGCTGTTCTCCTAGAAGTAGAGTCAACAGGTGTAAACCACTATCACAAGTATACTACCGTAAATGCATACTGAGTGAAAAGACCTGCACTCTTAACCCTAAAGTCTGTGGTTCTAAACAGAGACCTTTAAGATCAAGTGCAGCTGTCAACCCAGCACAGCTATCGTGTTCACCATTAAACCATGACCATATTCACACTTTCTTTTGAACAGAGCCAGAGATGGTGACTCTACCACATCTCTGGGCAGCCTGTTAAACACCAAGGTCTGACACCCTGGACAGCAGGTGTGTTTGTCTAAGGGATAGCAGTGTACAGGTTCACCAGCTGACCTCCTCCTCGGAGTCCCCAATACTTCCAAGCCTTTCTCCTTCCTTTCTCAGCTCTGCCACCAGGCTGAACAGATCATCCACCTTACACAACTCTTTGCTGCTGTCTAAGTCCAATCTGGCAGACATACTGCAAGAGTTATATGTATGTTACCTATATATGTTAGCAGAGCCTGTATCAGTGTTCCCATCTATACACCTCCAGGGAGGACCAGCCACACCACCTGGGCTGGCCCAAGAGCTCACCCAAGCTCTCAAAGCACTGGTCCCAGCCTCCAGGGAGGTGCCCCAATTGTAAAAGGAAGCTAACTGTACTGCCCTACTCCCTCCCTCCCCCCCCCCCCCCCCCCCCCCCCCCCCCCCCCCATTCCCCCCAAATAAAACCCCACAAATAGTAGCACATCTTCAATAAGTTTAACACGGATAAGGTACTGTATATATATACAGCAAAGAGCATTGTGATTGAGTTCACATGGGAGTTACAACTTTTTGATCGGAGGCTCAGATAGATCCTGTGTAATAGAAGAGTGCAACTGTTCAACAGCACTTATCTTGATGTTGGTGCTGGTAGTATATTTCTTCATGATTGCCTACAGGGAAATAAGGTTATATTTTCCCCTGTTCACGAAATAGTGCTAGTCCAGCTCACTCAAGACTTGGTGGTCAAACCAAGCCCATTCTAGCATACAAGCCTGGATCACAGCTGACTCACACCATTTGAGTGAGATAAAGATTTTCAGCTGAAGTGAGCAGGTCTTATCCAAGTCTGACAACAGTGGCTCAGCAAAGGCAGTCCTAGCGCACCACTGGCACTTAACCCCACATATCCCCCACCCCGCACTATAAGATTCTTACCTTCTGGTGGCAGCATCCTGATTCACAAGGACTACATTCTTTGCCATATACTGCACAATTGGTAGAAGGTCACTCTCAGTGTAAAACATGTAATGTTGCAGAGATGGTAACTGAAAGGCAGGGAAGCCATTAGACAAACTTATTAGAATAATCCAGGTACACCATGTTCTTGATCTTCAGTCCGGCTTGGGCAACTGTGTTCTCTTGTCTCACAGTGGGAGGTTAACAGGTACTGCCCTGCTGCTGTCCCCTTGTAGTGGATGATAGGGAGACAGGAACACGGTGAAATACCATGAGGAAAGGAAAAGGCCCTGAGTGGCCTTTTAAGCTGATGCACACTGAGTCTCAAACTAGGAGGTGGTCTGACAAGTACAGCTTACCAACTCACATCCATTAAGGAGCTTCAGAGGCAAACAGAAAACAGCTGCTGCAATCCCAGATGGAGGGAGGTGATCCATATCATAGTCCCCAATGCACAACTCCATCAGGTACTTGGCAAGAACATATTGCTTGGAGTCCACCTGCAGTAAGTCAGAGTTAAGTGTTGGCTATATCCAAGGCAAGGAGTACTCTGTCAAGCCTTGGTTTGGTCAAGAAAGAAGAAAAAAATCCTTAGAGACACTTTCAGAACTACAGGCCTGACGTTCAAGTGGCTTAATCACAGAGCAGTTCTGAGTTATATTAGGCTGCTCCTAGTCTAGGACCACCCCTTTCAATGGCAGTCTAGCAGTTACCCACTGTATTAGACAAGCATTTTAACATCGAGTTTGGATGTGTGAGGCTCGTGTCACAGAAGAGACAAATAAAACTATTTCAATCAGGCTTATTTGCTAAACTCTTGCAGTACTCAAAAGATTCGAAACATTTTAAGAAGTTGACACAAAAGTTGCTTTTTCAGATGCAGGTTACAGTAACACCTATTCTCAACACTATCTCTGCAATCTTTGAAGCTCTCAGGAAGTGCAGACAGAGAGGGAAACCCAGAAAAAAGTACAGGGCTTTCAGGATCGTCATCTCCATCTGGAAGATCTGGAACTTCAAGTAAGAGTAATTGGTTACAAAGCTGAAATCTGCAATATGTGGGGACTTTATCTCTTCGCATTTGCTGGCAAAGAACAAAGCTGTGATACTAACCAGTTGCAACTTTGTCTCAGGAACAGGATTGTCCTGTAGCAAGAAGCAGTAGTGATTTATTTGATAGATTTGGCTCGGAACACAGGTTTTCAAGGTAGTCAGTGTAAGGTGTATTCTATGGCGGATTCATATTGGCCCATATAGAATAACTATACTTTCTCTGTTTCCTCTTTTGGGATCTGCAGGGGGATTAGAAGGCTTTGAGATCAAATCACAGGGGGAGGAGTAAGCCATTTTGAGACAGCTCATAGCTGAAGTTTATGTGGTGTATACAACTGAGGACCAAATGTCCTTTGTTGGCCAGCTGTATTTTGCTAAGGGTCACATGTCCAACCATGTATAGTGTTACTGATCAACACTTGTTATGCTTTAGCTTGAGAGAAAAGCATTGCCTGGCACTGGGTAAGAGACACTCCCCTGAAAGAAGTGATCAGTGATTGCAACAGTCATGAACAAGGTCTCCTCTTGGAGTTCGAATTTCTCGTGTACTTTAGCAAGCCAGTCTATTACTACAGCATGCACGTTCCCATCGGTTTCCTTTACAGCCAGGTATTTGCATTTGACAGGTTTGTTTTCCTGTTAGGAATAGAGTTAATAGATATAGTAATTTAGCTGAAGCATCTAGCCTCAGTGGTACTGCAAGGCATAAATCTTGGAATCGTAGAATCATTTAAGGCTGAAAAAGACCTCCAAGATCAAGTCCAACCTATGACTGAACACCACCTTGTCAACTAAATCACAGCACTACGTGCCATGTCCAATTGTTTCTTGAACATTTTCAGGGACAGTGACTCTATCACCACCCTGGACAGCCAGTTCCAATGCCTGACCATCCATTCAGTAAAGAAATTCTTCCTCATGTCCAGCCTGAACCTCCCCTGGCATAGCTTGAGGCCTTTTCCTCTTCTCCTGTCTTTATCCTTATCAAGGATTTCGGTACAGAGAGCCCATAGGTGTAGGCCACTGGGCACAAAGGCTTCCTTTTTTTATTAGACATTGGCTAGAAGGATAGTACTAGTACTACTAGTTGATTGGTCTAACGACCAACATCTGTTCATGTTATCAGCTCAGTTTAATCTTGTATTTTAAGTTGAAGGAGTGCTTATTAATACCTCTGGAGGAACTACAGGTGAAAGTGAATACCTGCTCCAAGCCACGTCTACAAGGATAGGCTCATTGCAAGTGTCAGTAGATGCCTACTAACCTCCAGGTGTCTCGGATACTTGTAGATGTCCTTCACATGGCTGCTGCACAGGTTTGCATCATTACCATCTTCCACATCTAGGTCTCCAGGCTCAAGGATGACATGAGAAAAAGCCTGACACAACATCTCTGCTGTTGGAGCACATCTAGATTCTTCCATGAGGGTTGGAAACTGCAGCTTCGGCTACAAGGAAATTCAGTATCAGTGCAGACAGCACCTCCCTCTGCCGCCCAGTATGGACCAAGCTGCACTCAGAAACCCTGCTCACGACCCCCATTACAAGGCACCGACTAAGGCCACAGGGGCAGCCTAGCCCTGGGCTGGGGAAGGGGTGGACGACCCCAAGGAGGCAGTGGGCCTGGTACCTGGGAGCGCTCCGTCTGGGGCTCTGGTGGTGGCTCCGGAGATGGGTTCGGGGCTGGAGGCTGCACATCCCTCTTAAAGGCCACCCACAGCGGCCTCCTACGTGACCACATAAGTCCGAGCGGGGACGGGCGCGGGCCCGACGGTCGGCTGCCACCGACGGCCCCCTTGTGTTATAAGTTAGTTTAAGAATTTAGACAACTTAGTTCCAATTAAAAAATTGATAAATTTATTAAGCAAGCGATAATAAAGCAAACAGCGCTGGGTGGCCTGGGGGGCCAGCGCCCCTCCAGAGACACACACAACTTGTTTGAAAACAGGGCTTTTGTACTCTTTCAATATCAGTTGTTGAATA